ACACTCTTCTGGAATAAGAGTGTCTTGTTCCTGTTTAGTTTTAATCACTGGGTTAAATTAAACAGAAATAAGGCCCTCTTATCCCAGAATAAGAGTCTCCACCCATGGAGCCAATCAGGAATAGCTGTTCCTGAATAACTTCAAGTTCAGACAAGCAACTCACATCCCCCCTACCCCCCGCTTTTCTTTCTCACCCCCTCCCAATTACAGGGATGTGTCTTTCAGAGTGACAATATTTTAAATTGACATTGGGAATACTATTATACTGGAATGTGTTCAAGGCTGCCATCAATTCTTTGATCTGTAGATAATTACAGAGATGTTGAACATAATGAGCCTGTTCTCCAAACGCAAAGAAATCTGTGTGTTCCTCATATCCCCCCATTCAGGTTTTTCAATTTTTACCATAATCAATAGGGTTCTGCTAATTGATAACTAGAATGTTCCCTGTCATTTTGGAATTGATCGGATGTGTCATTCAAAAGTTATCACATTATATCCAAACAGCAAAATTCCTCACTCTCAGCTAAAAACCTGTTTTAAAATGTCCTTCAAAAATATGAATTACTTTGCTGTTTGCCAAATGCTTTCTATTAGCTGGTAATAAATTGCCAATATGCAACATGATCTGCATTATAATATATCATGTTACTAGAGCAGTTGTAATACTGTATTGTGGAACAGCAGGAATCTTAAAATTAGCTGGCCCTTTACTATATTTCAACAATAATAAGAATTTTAATAAGCATTTTAATAAGAACAGTTATTACTATGGGAAGATAACGGTACCACGATAACTACAACTTTCCTTGCAGCCACAGCCTATGAATGCCTGCTGCTCTACCCTGAAAAATGTTGTTGGGCTGTGTCAGTCAGGGGTGTGAAAAAAAAAACAAAAACCACACACTCCTGACTGACAAACGATGCCAGCAAAACAAATGTAGCTATACTGGCAAAATCACTCCTTTCGCTAGTATAAGCTGCCTCTCCACCAGGGGGTTCTGCTGGACTACCTATAGCAGTATAGCAGCATCAGCCAACCCTTCATAGTGTAGGCTGACCCTACAAAGCAGATTCAGTGCTAAGATATTGCTTTTTCATGAAGAGGTCAGATACCCATACTACTCACCTCCACAATCATTCTGGGTTTTAAACAATCTTCTTTATTTCACTCACTAAACACCAGGTAGCCTGTTGGGTTTTTGGTTTTTTTTTTTGTTTGTTTTTTTTAAGGTGAAAAGGGCATTATAAGATTGCATTAAAGTCAACAATTGTGTGCCACATTTTGAAGAATTACACTCCATTTTTTCATATTGTGTTTGCTTTTTCGTTCTTTCAGTCAAGATGTGTGGAAATTTATCTCCTCATATTCAGTTAGGGTAGTACAAAAGAGCATAACCAGGAGAAATGGGATGAAAATTAAAGAAATAAAAAACTGTGACTATCAAATTATGCCAGCAAAACAAATGTAGCTATACTGGCAAAATCACCCCACATTTCAGCAGTGGGGTGTCTGGCGCCCTGCCACAGTCTTCTGGGAATAGGAAAGCACTATTCCCACAGAAAGGTTGGGGACCATTGTGTTAAGGGGTCACCACCAGTTACTTTGTATTCTTGGTAGGTACACCAAAGAACAAAATTGTACTAGTATTTTCAGCTAATTCATTCGGTTTTAGCAGGATTAGCTGAAACCTAGCCTATTTAAATAATTCAGTTCTAACTTTTTGAAAGATATGGCCTATACATAAAGGGCTCATTTATCATCCAGAGATAGAATAATTCCCAAATATTTTAGCCCTGAAGGGATAACCAGTACTTTAGTTGACTGATATCTTTCTTCAGATCCTCTTTAAAAACTCTCCTTTGCTGTAAAGTTATTTCCTCACTGGGATTTTATAATACATCCCATCTCCTCTAGGCCTTACTTACAGGCCATGAATCTGAAGTCAGTTCCACCTGAAATCCCATTGACTTCAATAGGACTCTATACAGGCACAAGGGTCTACCTATGCAGAAAAAATACAGGATCAGGACCTTATGTTGCAAGCTCTTTGGAACAGAGATTGTCTTCATCCATACATCTTGTTCTACACCAAGCATTTTCAGTCCTATAACAAATACATAATTATTCTCCAAGCAAGTATATTCTATTTCTTGGTAAGGTGTAACTTAGTACTGTTTTAAACAGGAATATATTAAAGCACACTAGGGAACCTTTAGTAGGCACCAGCAAGGTCTACCAAATCAGTTAATACTAGGGCTGTCAAGCGATTAAAAAAATTAAACGCAATTAATTGCACTGTTAATAATAGAATACCATTTATTTAAATATTGTTTGATGTTTTCCACATTTTTAAATATATTATTATAACATAGAATACAAAGTACACAGGACTCACTTTATTTTTTATTACAAATATTTGCACTGTAAAAAACAAAAGAGTCTTTCAATTCACCAAATGCAAGTACTATAGTGCAATCTTTTTCATTAATGTAGAATTATGTATAAAAAAGAACTGCATTCAAAAATAAAACAAATGTAAAACTTTAGAGCCTTCAAGTCCACTCAGTCCTATTTCTTGTTCAGCCAATCGCTCAGACTAAGAAGTTTATTTACATTTTCAGGAGATAATGCTGCCTGCTCCTTGTTCACAATATCACCTGAAAGCGAGAAAAGGTGTTCGCCGGCTACAACAGTGCCATAAATCGCATTTTACATGAATCGCAATTTACATGCCAAATCTGCTAAAGATTCCTATGTCCCATCATGCTTCAACCACCATTCCAGAGTACATGCATCCATGCTGATGATGGGTTCTGCTCAATAACAATCCAAAGCAGTGTGGACTGACACATGTTCATTTTCATCATCTGAGTCAAATGTCATCAGCAGAAGGTTGATTTTCTTTTTTGGTGGTTCAGATTCTGTAGTTTCCACATCAGTGTGTTTCTCTTTTAAGACTTCTGAAACCATGCTCCACACCTCAACACTCTCAGATTTTGGAAGGCACTTCAGATTCTTAAACCTTGGGTCGAGTTCTGTAGCTATCTCACATTGGTACCTTCTTTGCATTTTGTCAAATCTGCAGTGAAAGCGTTCTTTAAATGAACATGTGCTGAGTTATCATCTGAGACTACTATAACGTGCAATATATGGCAGAATGCGGGTGAAATAGAACCAGAGACATACAATTCTCCCCCAAGGAGTTCAGTCACAAATTTAATGAATTCATTTTTTTAACAAGCATCATTAGCATGGAAGCATGTCCTCTAGAATGGTGGCCAAAGCATGAAGGGGCATATGAATGTTTAGCATATCTGTCAGATACCTTGCAATGCTGGCTACAAAAGCCTGTTCTCACTTTCTGGTGACATTGTAAATAAGAAGTGGGCAGCATGATCTCCCATAAATGTAAACAAATTTGTCTGACTTAGTGATTGGCTTAACGAGAAGTAGGACTGAGTGGACTTGTAGGCTCTAACGTTTTGCATGGTTTTGTTTTTGAATGTAGTTATGTAACCAAAAAAAAAAAATCTACATTTGTAAGTTGCACTTTCATGATAAAGAGATTGCACTACAGTACTTGTATGAGATGAATTGAAAAATACTGTTTCTTTTGTATATTGTTTTTACAGTGCAAATATTTGTAATCAAAAATAATAATATAAAGTGAGAACTGTACACTTTGTATTCTGTGTTGTCATTGAAATCAATATTTGAAAATGTAGAAAAACATCCAAAAATATTTAATACATTTCAATTGTAGTCTATTGTTTAACAGTGCGATTAAAACTGCAATTAATCATGATAAATTTTTTTAATCGTGATTAATTTTTTTGAGTTAATCACGTGAGTTCACTATGATTAATAGACAGCCCTAGTTAATACACAACATATTAATGTGCTTTATAAATCACCTTGCCCTATTAGTCTGCATTACCCCATCAAAGAGACAAGCCATTATGCAACAGTTCCCCACAGAGCTGTCTAGCAGACCAGAAAAGTTGGCGCACAATATGCTCCAACCATGCCTCCTCCCTCTCCTGCACCACTCCTTCCCATGCCAGGGGCTATGAGGGAAACCCCAGCCTTATGCTACTGAGAGAATACCCTGGTGGGAAGATTCATCAGTTCCAAAGCCCCGCACACACAGAGAGAGCCAGCCTGTAAAGGGTGCGAGAGACCCCAACACCACGGCCACAGTTTGGCTTTTCAGAGTAAAAAAGCTGTTGCCTGCATAAAGTACTGTCCGGTGCTCTATATTGGTATGCATTATTTTTGATATTTTTATGTTGGCATATAACTATTGCTATTGGTTAAAGAGCCACAGCACGCAACAAAGGGAACAGGAGTTAGTCAAATTCTTCCTATAAAGTAAAACTGATTTACTCTGTTTTTTAACCCAAGAGCAAGCGGGCAAAAAGGAGCTCTCCAACCAGCCAGCACTCATTTCAGAAACATTTGAGATCAGGCAAAAGAAAAGAGAAAAAACAAAATTTGAACAGAATATAAAATACTATTTGTGCTTCTGTGTTTATTTTACAATATGCTTTCTTCCCCCAATCTTCCAAAATTATTAGCCACAGGGAAAATATCTGAATCCTCATGACCCAATTATAAATTAAATTAGTAACAGAAAAAAGAAGATGAAATCTTAGGGGAAAATATAAACTATTAACTTTAAGGGCGATATGTAAAATGAAATAACCAAATCTTTATCATGAGAAATTTTCACTGTTGTTTTCTTTAAATCTCATCATTCCATCTCTGTTGTCAAACTAGAAGTGGCTTCATTTTCTAACCTTCAGGTCCAAAATAAAAAATCTCCACACAGAAACAAAAATTAAAAGTATAGAAAAGATAGCTCTGTTTTTAACTGTTTCCAGGTAGATAAGAAAATTAATCAGCTAAGTATTTTACGGATCTTCCAGTTGAAAGTTAAAAAACTGAGCTGGTTTCTATGTGTAGACACTAATGATCCTGAAGTACAATCATTTACCTGGTGTCTTTGGTCACCATTTTCCCTTACCCCATGCTTGTGTACAGTGTGCTGTGCATTTCTTGTCCACTTGGGTGCCATCTGCCATTCCTGAGACAGCTGTGAAGCAATTTTGAACCCTGCAGCATTCATACAAAATTAACTTAGAAAGCTAAAGTGGGCCAACTTTATAGCCACCATACAAACCAATGGAAACTATTACGCCAGCCAGCTCTGGTCAAACTAAATATTCTGGTGGATCAGATGAACATGCACTAAGTTCAGGTGTAACATATCTATTAGGGGAGGTTGCAGAGTAACATATCTATTAGGAGAATGAACCTGAAGATATGCTTGGCTGATTAGGCATGGATGCCCATGCACCCTTAATTTCACTTTCTGTGCATATTCATTATTACAAAGTCTCACCAAAGTCAAATACTATTTTTCTCCCACAGGACCTCTGCCTCATTCAGTAGGCAGGAAGGACAGTAAATGAGGCAGGGGTGCATAGCTAAAAAGCCGTTGTTGGCAAGACCCCTATCTCTTTCACTGTGAAAGTTGTAATGCATGTAACACGAGGCAAGGACCTACAGGAAGAGAAATAGTGTTGTTGGGGTTACAGCACTGGATTGAAACCAGTGAGAATGGGATTCTAGCCCTAACTTTGACACAAACTTCCCTCAGACCAGACTTTTCAGAAGCAGTCATAACTTGCAGGTGCCTCATTTTCTAGGTGACCAGCTTGAGACACACAGGGCTTGATTTTTCAGAAATTCTAAAAACACTCACAACTGTAAATGAAGTCAACACCTATAAAAATATCAGGCCCTACCTGTCTCCAATTGGGCACCCAATCATTAAGATACTCAAAATCAATATACACTTTTGAAAAATTTGGCCTACATCTTCCTATACTTTAGTTCTCTATATGTAAATGGAAGATAATATTTCCCTACTTCACAGGAGTGTTGTGAAGATAATCATAAGGCACTTGGGTAATATGGTGATGAGAGCAATAATAATAATTTCCTCATGATTTTTTTAATTATTATTATTAATATTAATAATAAATAGTTAAGTAGTAAATTAGGCATAGGACCATGAATTGAGTGATGCAGATAGAAAGACATTACACAGCTACCTCATTCTCAGAGCACCATCCACCATGAGCAGCGAATGATGCATGGTCATGTGGAAAATAAATAGAAATGAGCACACGACTAAAGATAGTTCTACTCCCTTGTGCATATACAGGCTGCATGAGGATTTAATTCTGACATTTGAGTATTAGACTTTTCAATGATAAGGTATTTTATATGTAATTTTATTTGTATATATATAAAATCAGACCCCCTCATGTTAGCACATTTTAAGGGACAGGATACTTCGGACAGTGCTAATGAGCTACAGAGCTTTCCACCTGTAGTTCAACAGTTTGAATCCAGCCCAGATCAGTTAAGAGTCAAAGCTGTCTCCATCTAATATATATCTGCTGGCCCCTATATGAAATGAGTTTGGTGGAAGTCATTTCCAGCTCTCACATCACCAATTTACCATAGCACTTGGCACACATGTGTTTTGCATGGAGAGGCCAAGAACAGAGTGGAACATGGAGACTAGACTCCCTCTGCTACTCCTAGAGCTTGTCTTCACTATCAAGTTTGATCTACAACTGTGATGTATCAAATTAGCTAACCAGAGGCTAACCACAACTTTGCAATTAATGTAGAAAAGAACACGTCCTGTCCAGCCCCTAGGGGAGGTCTGAGACTTAAACATGCCATTTAACCATGATTATGTGACACAATAATGCACATGGCTTGTCCTTGTCCACACAAAGATGTGGTCAGCATCACGACAGTTAATTCCACTCTTCACAGTAATATTTTAACAATAAAATTGTGTAGTGACAGCAAGGCCACAGTGGAAATCCTACCCAGACCAGGGTTGAGACAAGCTGATAGGGTAGTATGTCTGGGCTTCTCACCCTGCAGATAAAAGAACTGTATTTGCCAGCACTGTGACCTTTCATTAACTCTAAATACAAAAAAGCATTTTTTTATTAAAAACAAACTTTATGGTTGTATGAAACATATTTGCAAATAGACAAATTAACTCATTACTGATTTGCATAAACTACTTATGTGACAGCAACTACATTATTATTTCACACACAAAAATGCATTCCAAAAGGAGAGATGCTTGTGTCTTATAGACCCACCCCGCAATCCATACAGACCTTGGATCTAGGGGAGTTGGAGAAGGTGAGGGGGAACAGAGAAGTCTTTTCTTCTGGTGAGAGTGCAAAAAATCTAATCTCACACAACTCCAACACTGCATGAAACAGCTTGATGAAAACTCCATGAGGGGAACCTTGTGAAGGTCTCCCCCACCACTCTCTTTTGTTCGTTTTTTTTTCCCCCTTTCCCCACCACAGTAATATTCAGCAACTGACATCTCAAAAATTTCATTTATAAAGATTCTCTTCTAATTAACCAGTATTATAAGCAGGGCCTAGTATCACTGATTATTATTAAAGGTACCCAACACTTCCCATTATAAGATCCTCTTTTCACTGGGTTTATAACTTTGCCAAACTTTAACCGTTTGGACTGAAATTTTACATGCTAGGTGTCTGCCACAGGCTGAATTTTTTTCAAAAAATATAATCTCAGTCAAAACAGTTCTGCCCTTTCTGAGAATGAGACTATGAAAAAATAAATGGTTTTGCTCATGTTAAAAATTCTTGTGACTGTTTCTTTGAGAAGCTTTAGCACTGCCCCTTCCCTTCCCTCCCCCCATGCTTCGGAGCAGGGCCTTCAAATTTGGCATGGGGTGGCCTTGAGTCAAGTGAAGTAACCTTCACAATCCCTGTGAAAATCCACCCAAATTTGGCCAAGTTATAAACCTGGGGAGGCGGGGGATGATGACGACTGCAGTTTGCACATACTCAGAGAGTGTTTCAATTTTTAGCAGCTAAAATCTCCAAAGATGCTCTATACACCTTCACAGCTCCCAAGCGTGACTGGACTGCACTTGAGCCAGCCCCACAGAACCACTGAATGTGTTCCAAACCAGGGCTATAGAGTGAAGCCAGACTTTCCCTGTAATTGCTGCACCCACCTGCTCTGGGCAAGAGTGGAGGTGAGCATCGCAACGGAGAGCTCTAAGTGACCTGCATTCCAGCACCCAGGAACGTGGAGGAAGCTGCCTGATTCAAATACAGAGGAGACAGAAGCTGGACCAGGGGGAGAGAAAGAAGTAGATTAGGACAAGGAGTCTGGTTAGCGTAGGACTAGAAGAGAAGGGAAGGAAACTGGGACTTGTACAGACAGCCAGGAGGGAGAGATGAGGACTGGCTGGATAAGGAGACTGGGACTGGGATGAGAATCCTGAGGAGTGGAGACTAGGACTGGATAGGCAAGAAGAATGGGACAGGTTGAAGCAAAAGGGGCAGAAGGACTCAGTCCTGGGTGGAACAAGCAGAAGATGCTGTGACCATTAGGGAAAATTCCCCTCCGGAGGTTGGGATAGAAACCAAGATTCCTGAGTCTCACCGTTCCTCTCTCATCATTAAATACCTGTGAAATCCACTAGCAAAGTGTGTCTCTCATCCTCCTCCAATGTTGGTTCACATAGACAATAATAAACTTACTATTGCTATCAGTTACTCTACTATCTCAAGGGGAAGAGGTTTGTGTGGTAAAACTAAAGGTTCCAACCAAACTGATGACCCATATGGGTGTCAATATGATGCAGCATGACGGAATTTCTGTATTTTCAGTTTGCTATTTTTAAAACCTAGGACATTTTTAAACACAAAAAGCAAAGTATATTAAAAACATTTTAAGGTTGCAAAGTGAAGCTTTCAAAAGTTAGGAAATGCCAGAATTAAGGTTGTCTGCACAACCAAAATTCAGCTCCCTTGTATATATGTATACTGTCTTTAATTTCATAAATCATTTTTTTTCCCCCAAAGGACCTCTGCCTCATTCAGTGCACAGAATGGACAGTGTTCACTTACTGAGCAGCTGTTCAATATTTTGTTTTTTCCTCATCAGGAAATGTGTGGTCCAAGTCCTTATTTACTGCACACTGTTCAAATCCTCCTTTGAAGACAGAATTATTAATTTCCTCATGGCCTTTTCTATGGCAATCATCACTATAGTACCTGAATATCTGAATATTGCAAATATTAATGAACTTATTTTAACATCTCTGTGAGATGAGGGAGTTGTATTATTCTTCTCATTTTACAGATGGCAAACCGAAGCAGAGATTAAAATCAAAAGTATCCAGTAATGCTGAGTGCCCAGTTATAGACACCTATGAACTGACTTTTCAGAGTAGTTAGCATCATACGCACTTTATAGTTCAAAGCATTGCCCCCACTAACTTTAGTGGCAGCTGTGAGTCCTCGGCATTTCCACAAATCAGTCCTCTGGGTCTCAAGTCAGGCGTCCAGAAAATGAGAAACTCACAGCTAATGACCACCTGTGAAAAATTTGGTTTAAGTGACTTGACTTGTATCACAGGCAAGCACAGAATCCAGTTCTCCAGGACAGCATTCAACTGCCTCAACCATAAGACCATCTTTTCTCTTTCTGGAAACACTTATCTTCCAACCTCAGCAACAAACGAGCAGCATCCTACAGACAACAGTCTCTTTCACTACTCAACCCTGATTCATCCCCCCAGCAGGTCCATCCTGGCACTGAATGAGGCAAGTATCCCATGGAAAAAAATAGTATGTGATCATGTATTTAAAGACTGTATCATAATGTATAGTAACAGAGGTGAACAGGCAACTTATCTGGCATTTCCTAACTCTTGAGTGCTTAATGTTCTTTTAACAAAGTTTTTTTATATGTAATATATTAATACATTCTGAAAAGGGCTGTTGTACAGCAGCTGTTGTACTGGCTCTTGTTAGAGAACCATTTGAAAACACTTAACCTAGTTTTTAATATACCATGTCCAACTAATTTCTGGTTCAAAGACATTTGAATAGGTCTCCTCCTTAGGTCAAAGTTGTTTTCCATCATTAGCCACTTTCAGAACACTCTGCTCCAATAACAGGAAGCATCTGAAATGATTCCTAGATTTATTTCAGATGAAGGTAAACTCAAAATTTAGGTCACATTAATGGCATAAAATGTTAAAACAAAAACTAAGACAATTATTCTATACACAAGTGTCAAGTTCACCTTAGAAAAACTAGAAAAATAAGTTCCATCAGCAAGTATACCCTTCAAAAGAACTTCAGATAACAAAATTCAGCCTATGTGTGCAATGAAGCTATTTGGGAACTTTAAAATGTTATAGTGAAAGCTACAGTTATACTCTCAGCTCCATACAGTTGAGACTATTGGGGTGGGGGTATGATAATTTTGCCTCCCTCAACACAGCAATTTTGCATTTGAAAAGCTAAAACTGCTCTGTCAGAAACAGCTATATTTATCCTGAGAGCTACATAATTTAAAATGTTCAAATTTAAAATGCTAACAATTTTTGCACACACAAGTATAGAAATTTGTTCACAGTAAGCTTCAATTTTTTAATAATTAAGGATGACATTGCTCAATGAATCAAGGGTTATCATTATGTTTATTAGGAACAAAATATGACTATTTCCCCAAACCACTACTTACAGCGTTTGTCTAATCCATGAAATTCTTGTGTGTGCGCAGGTGCATTTTAAATTGTTCAAATGCTTTTTTTTTTTTCCTATTCACTATGAGGGATGGAGGACAACCAATGTTAAAGGCCCATGGTTCTGAGTAGAGCCCTGTGAGGGACTATTTTTTTAATCCCGCTCCCGTCCAATCCCACCACACAATACTCATTCTTACTTACTCCCACATTTTTTCTTGCATTTTTTTATCCCGCTCACATCTGCAAAAACCTTAGATCCTGCAAATTCCACGAGATGGGCAAATTCTCCCATGGTACTAAAAAAAATAGTTGGTTTATTTATTTATATATATATAAATGGAATTCAGGGTGGGGAAGTAAAAACACACTGGGAGGGAGTAATTCAAAAAGTCAGCTAAGGCCTATCTTCCCAGACATGTACTTCCTTAGTCGCCATAGGGCCCAATTAAGCATCACTGTGTCTCTGCACCTTCCACCACTGGGTTCTTAAAGACAAGGTGATTAAGTTTAAGGATTGATATCATCAATATATAAATTTTTAATTTTCCTAAAAATTGTAGGGCCAAGTCTTATAAACCTTATTAATGAATAATTCTTACTTACAAAATTAGTCCTATAGACTTCAATTTACTTATGTGACCAATAAGCCTTTCAGGAATAGCATCTTTATATTGTAAAATATCTCGACCTATGTTATTAATAACTACCTTAGATTAGCAAAAGCAATTTTTTTAAAGATTTAGTTTACTTAACACTGTAAACATACTGTTTACTTTGTGTGCATTTCTCTGAGCTGGGATGAAGAAAAACAGTTAAGTCAATTTTGGTTTGAATTGTAAGTACTGAAAAGTATATTTGTTTGAAAATTGATTACATTTGGGTAAAAAAGATAGAATCATAGAATATCAGGGTTGGAAGGGACCTCAGGAGGTCATCTAGTCCAACCCCCTGCTCAAAGCAGGACCAATCCCCAATTTTTGCCCCATATCCCTAAATGGCCCCCTCAAGGATTGAACTCGCAGCCCTGGGTTTAGCAGGCCAAAGCTCAAACCACTGAGCTATTCCTCCCCTCCAATAGATCGGTATTGGCCTAAATCTTTCTGTACCTGGAAATATTTCTTTTTGTCTTGTTTTCTACAAGCTTGTTTTTAAGTAAATTTAAACTTTGGGACAAATTTGGAGTTGACAGTAACTCCTTACGTGCCTAGTGAAGGACAGCTTTGTAGTAATTAAGTACCTAGTACTAAAAAAAGGTGATTTTATTGTAGAATATTAAATATATTTTTGAATGGGTGACTAAGGACTACACTGAGATTTGGGAAATGCCACAGAATGCCTTTGCTATTAATCATACATATAGTTAAACAAAATTTTAGCTTAAATAGCACGTCAATAAGCACTCAGATATTACAGTGACGTTGGCCAAATTAGTATCTAGGTACTTCACCATATGCAATTTTACCAACATTAGCCTTGCAACTATAAAAAGTTTTCACACTCTTACAAAATTAAGATTTTAAAGTCAGAAAATAAGGCCATCATACAGGGGAAAACAGGTTTCCCAGCTTCCAACAGAGGGCCACATACTGAATATCTTATTTGAAGAAAGCGCCCAATGACCTGCATTTTTTCTTAGGGTTTTGTTGTTGTTGGTTTTTTTTAACTATGGGTTTTGTCAGCATTTAAAGTGATTCTGGCCCACAGGATCAAATCTGGAATAGTCAAAATGTCAGTGCCTGAGGATTTCAGTGTAGGGGATGTTACCTGTGGATTGGCTAAGAATTTCACAGCTCCCATTACAATTACTGGACTGTCCCAGGCAGTCACAGGCTCCATTCATAAGGCTAGACACACTCTGGATCTTGTGCTTGAGTTAAGATTGAGGAACCATTTCCCCCCATCATTGATCATCCACAATCTCTGAAGTTAGGAAGAATTTATCCATTCACAGTGACAGACATATCTTGAGAGTCCACCCTCGGTAGTTAATGAAACCACTGAGTTTCCACGCAGCCACTACAGACACCAGTGATCTTTCAGAAAAACAACCTATTAATGGTTTTGGTAAGCTTTAGATTAGTATTCGGTCATCCACTATTGAAACAGTGGCCCCTAAATGCTCTCTGCACAAGCTCCATCTTCACCATGGTTCCCAGAAAAGACAGATCAAGTGAGAAACGAGACAGCCAGAACACCAGTGACCGAAATCTCATGCAGACTGCAACCAATTATATAGTTTTTTTCCCTTCCAAAGGAAATCCAATACAGAAAAATACCATCCTTAGTGGCCAATAGCTTGCCCAATCCTAGCTGTCTCATCACAATTATAGAGTTGAGTTCTTCCCCTCAAAATTTTCATATTACTTGGCAAATAAAAATTGTTTGAATTTAGAATAAACTGTCTACTTCTATAGAAATGGAACACTGTCTTAAGGAAACAATGAATTAGTCTTATGAATTTCAGCCAGTATTGCTCACTGAAGTTAAAGAGGTACTGAAGTAGCTTTGTGCTACAACCTGTGAGCTGGACCCATGACCTTCCTGGCTGGTGAAGGTCAGTAGGGAAAGTGGTGGGTTCCTTCTTGATTAAGACTGTCAACATTTCCCTATGGAAGGGCAGAGTGCAAGTAGCTCTTACAGCTACAGTGAAGCCAGTGCTCAAGAAGCCAATTTTGATGCTGACAATCTATATACAATCTATATAATGACAGTCTTCATTTTTGGGGAAGGTCATGAAAAGGTTGTGGTGGAAAAATTAATGTGGGTGGGGTTTGTTGTTTGTTTTGATTTTTCCAGTCCTCTAGTTTCCTTGACACCAGTTTATAGGTTTACAAGCCTGGATATGAGATAGAAATTGCACCGGTTATACTAGTGGATGATCTCCTAGTAACAGAAAAAAGAGAGAATCTGTGCTGATCCTTTTATATTGGTCACCAGCTTCGATATTGTTCCTTTGCTTGTGAACTAAAGCAGTTGGTGGACGGAGTCACTCTTAGCTTTCTGAAAAAAAAAAAAAAAACCATTGGCTGTGGATTCCTTTGCCCAAAGGATTCTTTCCTGCAGGATACCACAGGGGTTTAGTGGTACCACAGTTACTTCTGTTTGAGGATGCTGGTGGGATTAGTGAGGAGACATAGGCTGCAGTGTATTCAGCATCACAACTCCGATCTCCATCATGTCTGATATGATGGAACAATGGAATAAGTTACCCAGTGGCTACATTAACTATGGGTTTGGATGAGAACTAGCTGGTTACAAATTAATCCAGACAGGAAAGTTAGAATGTTGTTGGCCTGGTGAAAACAGTTAAAACTTACAATGGCACCTGTAATGGAGGGAGAATAGCAGAGGTGTGCAACCTGAGTGCTTTATTACATCCTGGATCACCAAATGATGGCTATGGTCATGTGCACTTTCCCTTCATCAGTGCCTATGGAGAAGAGTGCCCTTTTCCCCTCTGATGTGAGCCTTGATAAAGCTAGCCATATCTTTGTCATCTCAGAATAATAATAGGGTCACACCTTGGGACCATTCAAAACGTGAAGCTAGTGGAGACTATCATGGCCCTCTTAAATGAAGTTGCATACTGAGCACATTACACTACTTCTTCCTGGATATATACTGGCTTCCAATAAACTTCTGGAAGGGATTCCAGGGGTTGGCTTACGCTATAAAGCAATAAATGTTTTGGGACTTCATTACCTGAGAGGCTGCCTCTCTTTTGAGCTGGAGCCCCCTTGACACGAAAGGGGAGTGGCTAACAAGGGTCTGAAGGGTACCCAATTCTGGAATTTGTTTCCCATACTTTTGGTTAAACAGGGCTGAGCCAAGATTTGTAACTTTCTTGACATGCTGCAAAGCCCAAATCTTTCTGCTCAGTCTTTTGACAAAGGCGTGGGCTGACGGTTGAAAGGATTTGGTGGAGATGTATGTATATTATATGGTACATTTTTAAGTTTACAAACAGGCACCAAGGGCAAAGAATGAGTGCTTCGAGATTTTTTTTTTTTAAATAAACATGAAAAAAAAACTTCCATCCTTTCCTCACCTATTTTTAAATAAGAATTTAAAAAAAAAATTCACAGAGCCATCTTCCATTACCTTGTCCACAGGCTGGTTGGTTGTTTTTCGGGAGGACGGTATAAACAGTTACAGAGATTGTTAAACCTTAATCTATTTTATCTATTTTCTACCTATAATCCCTAAATTAAGAATGTTTTTCCTGAAGCAACCATTGTATTGGTTTATGGTGATGATCTAGGAAAATTCTAAAATACACAACTATGAATGAGAAAAGAGGTGAGGTAATATCTTTTATTGGACCAACTTCTGTTGGTGAAAGAGACAAGCTGTTGACTTTACAGTGTCTTTTACAATATGTGCTTACTACCTATGCTAAACAATACATTCTACCTTGTATTTAGCTGCAAGAGCCTGAGTGCCTTTCCCAGACCTGAAGAAAAGTTCTGTGTAAGCTGATAAACTGGTCTCCTTTACCAACAAAAGTTCATCCAATAAAAGATATTACCTCATCAACCCTGTCTCTCTAATAACCTGGGACCAACACAGCTATAACAATACTGCAAGTAACTATGAATGGCAGTGGCCAGTTAATACACATTCTATCAAACTAAGAATTAACTCGTCTCCCTCTAAGTGGTTTATTTCTTGTGGAAAACATAAAAACACTAAAACAAGTTTCCAACTTATTGTTTCCACAAACAAACTTTATTTTAGGTGAACCACAAAGTATTGAAGTATTTAGCCAGCCTTATTCCAGTAATATGTAGTCAGAAGTTTTCCATCATGTAATAAAAAGTCATACAGCAATCAAGTTACTGTTCCAGAGAATCAACAGTATACATTGTCTTGTTCCTCCATCATTACGCAGAAAAATAAGGTAGTTTCATTCTTATAAATCATGGCAACCACTAATGGGGGACACAACTTGCCTTAGCTACTCTTGTAAATAGCTTTTTCATTTAGGGTTATACAACGTAAACAGTTAACTGATTTTAGTGGAAATGTGATTAACTAAATACATCATAACTACATGCAGGTTTATTGAAACTGCTTAAATCTCTTTCAAACAGCCTGAAATGATTTGCTGGTAAGGGCATGGGGAGAGGGGAAGAAGATTATACTTTTAAGGGCATATTTTAAAATTAGGTTATTGAAGCAAATTAGAACAACTCCTTCTGTTCCATTTACTAGTCATGAAATAGAAAGTAACTTCTTCATCTTTCAAATTACGACTTAATAGAATAGACCCCTTAAAAAAAAAGCCACACACCTCACACACCCCCATACACACACACACAAACAATAGTTCCAAGTACTATTCTCCCTTTACAAACTGGACAAGTCGTAAAGGTCAGGAGGTCTGGACAACATTTATTCAACAGTAACTCAGAAAAAACACCGAGTACAGATGCTTTTCAGGGAAAAACCTTTGCTACCATAAATAGGCTATTGTTGAGATCTGGGAGTATTCACAAAAACTCAACATCAAAGGGATTTTACTTGTAATAAAGTATTGCATACAGTATTTTATAACAAAAATTAGTTTTAAACTAAACATGGCACCTAGGTAATATAACATTTGTCATTCTAAAGACAACTCCTTTCCATAAAAGGAAAAAGAAAAATACAAATATTGGGGGGGGGGGGCAATTGGGTGATAATGCTAGCCTGCACCTAGTGAGTACTTGATAGGACAAAAACATCATAATTCCTCTCCTCCCCAAGAAAGATTTTGTTACATATGGTGCAGGGAGATGTCAAAATAAATGCTGGAATATCAATTTTGGGGAAAGAAAAAAACAAAAGCCTAATCAACAGCTCAACCTCCTAAACAAGGTACCTAAAGGATGGCAAGTGAGAGGTGAAAGAGTAAAGAAGAACAAAGTATTACAGTTTCAATTCTTTCTATCAGTGATAAAAAGAATTTGTACATTTTAGAGCTACAAATTATGCCATGAGTGTCCTTTTAAGATGTGTAAAATTATCAAGTGAAAATAAACTGAATTTTGTGATCTTGCAGATGAAGAGGCAATATTTGTGTAGCTGAAATAAATTCCATATTTGAGGGCTACCATCCTGAGAGGTTTCATAGATTAAGATATTCTAATCACAACTTTCAATTCCCTTTAGTCTCAATGAAATAAAGAGTGCCCAATATTAAGGGCATGTCTACATGGCAAAGACAGTGTTCTCAACGCAGTTTAGCTAACCTGAGTTCGTTAATTCAGGGTTAAAACAGCAGCGAAGACACAGTGGCTATGTCTACACTGTAAAAAAAAAAAACCAAACCTGTGGCAGCAAGTCTCAAAGCTCGGGTCAACTGACTCAGGCTCACAGGACTCACACTACAGGGCTAAAAATATCAGTGTAAACGTTCCCACTCAGGCTAGAGCTTGGGCTATGAAACCATGCGAATGAGGCAGGTGTCAGACCCCCAGATCTAGCCTGAGCAGGAATGTCTGCAGTGCTCACTTTAGCCCCACAAGTCCAAGTCAGTTGACCCAGGTTCTGAAACTCACTGCCACGTGGTGTTTTGCTTGTTTGTTTTTGCAGTGTAGGCATACCCAGTAACTCAGCTTTTACCTTGGGTTAGCAGTTTGAGTTCAGTACTGGGCTCCCCTACTCGAGCTGCTAATAGGAGTTAAAAGCCAACCTGCCATGTCTTCACTGCTATTTTAACTCAAGTTAGCTAACTTGGGTTAGCAAACCCAAGAACACTTTTTTTTTTTTGCGCAGCATAGACATGCTTTTAGGATTAAGCCCTCTTCAAAAATTTCCCAAGAGTTAGACAAAGGCTGTAGGCAAATCTTTTCTCTTAGTCAGATTACTTAAGACTAAAAGTTATAATTAAAAAACAGTATAAAAAGATACACATAAAAAAGGGAACTTACTGTTTTATTCCGTAATCTAATTATGTCCGAGACAGAGCCAGCTCCACAATACTCCATAACAATCCATAGATCTGTGTTCTTAAAGTAGCTGCCATAGTACTTGACAACATAGGGACTAAATATAAACACAAAACAGTTGAGATTCATGTATTAATGATCCTCAGCAATGAAAAAAATATCCACGGTCAGTTCTAATAAAATGAGAATTGGGAAGTCACTAGGACAGCCAAAGATTGTGTGGTGCAGTTGAGCGAATTTTAGGTCATGATGGGACTACCTTAATCAAGGCCTCGTAAAGGCCTGGTTAGACTTCCAGAAGTTTGGTTCCTTCACCAAAATGATGGAGGCACATGTAGAATGACCTACAATACACCCACACCCCTCAAATAAATACAAAGATCTCCCCAATCACCAGTTGCTTTCTGATGAAGGGAAAGCACCTTCTCCACTTCCCTTTTCCTTCGGAAAAGTCTATTCCCCTTTTCACTATCTTCAGGAGCCTTCTCCTTTTTCTCTCTTTCCAGTGTTGAGTGGACAACATGGAAATCATTTTCAATTTCCTCTTTTTTCCCCACACAACCTGCAGGAGTCTATTTCAAAAACAAACCTGAATAGCTAACTAAATATTGTTCAGTCTAATGTTTTGCTATAGAAATATTTATGGAACTCTATGTGCATTTTCCATATTAAGTTTTAACAGAACACTGTTATTTATATAGTGCCATATATTATGCATGTTGTATTTCCATTCATCAACATATCAAATAAAGGACATAAATCCTCCCCTGAGTTCTTCGAGACCTGGGATGAGTGGCAGTAGCTGCAGAATCTCAGAATGAGGAAGGAGACTTTTTTTGTCCCTCAGTGGTAAGCTAGCCTCAATACTGCATCAGTAGACAAGGGTGTACAAACTACTCTAATTTGAGAGGACAGCTGTAAGTAAGACTTGTGAAAGCAGACTGGTCCAAATGGTTACTGACAAAGTTTGTGTTTAAAGAAAGTTAGACAGCTAGAGAGATTTTAGCCCAACCTTTGCAGAATTAGGTCTTGA